AGAGAGAGAGAGAGAGAGAGAGAGAGAGAGAGAGAGAGAGAGAGAGAAAGAAATGGGACAAATAATATCCTGAGTCCCAAACCTGGAAATATTAAACACAAAGGCTACCATCACCAACATTTTGGGGCCGGGGTGTAGCTCACTGTAGAGTATGTGCTTAGCATGCACGGCCCTGGATTCAATGTCCCGCAGACGTGAAAAAGGAGGACGTTACAGGATGTTGTAGATAACACCACATTTCATTTTATCTTTTTACAAATTAGTCTCCTGAGGAAGATAAGGCTATGAATCTTCATATGACAAATAAAGCTACTTAAAAAAGAGAGCTCATATGGGATGTGAGGAAAGGTCTGGCCTGTGGTTACGCACTGCAGCACAGTTCTCACTGACAGACTAGCCTGAACACTCGTGAGCTAGGGTGACTCATGGTAGGCTAGAACATGCTACCCTGACAACTGCTCATCTCAGTGGCTTGAGAGAACAAGTTCATTATGTCTATCTCCCGTTGGGTCCCTAAAACTCTAGTCCAGGTCAGGAGATGACAGAGGAGTGTCGTCTTGAATGTTGCATGGCCACTCAGTCAAACAGACCCAACCCGCAAAGGTACTAGAGAACTGTCCTTCAAATGGCTGCCACGGAGATGACCTGGGTAACAGATGGGATGCTGTGTTTACACAGGCTTCCATTACTCTCAAGGTAAATATCATCGATAGCCTTGTTTTGAAACTGAGAAACAGAGTTCAAAGGAGTTAAGCACGTTGCATAAGATCCCATCAGTTCTGTAAGACACGGAAGTCATCACCCATAATTTTTAAGAAGTCATTTTGAGGAAGGAGCTAGGATAGACTCAGTCTACTCCCTGAGGGAATAACCCCTGGAGTGCTCAGCCATTGAAGTCAGGTCTCCTTTAACCTATGGGACGCTGTTCTGCACATTTACGCTAGAGGAATCCCACACAGGTTTCCTCTTGAATGTGGGTCTCTCCCTCCCTTTAGCCCCAAAGCATTTTCGCAGACTCTGCTCCTCACCCAGCAGCTTGTGCTCCACCGCATTCCGCAGGGACTGGTGTCGGAAGCAGAGGAGGCCATCGGGCTTCTCCTGGATCCAGTGCTTGGTGGCGTTGCGGAAGGCCGCCCAGTGCACGGTGGTCACTTTCTGGTTGTTCCGGTAGCCCAGCATGTCCAGGAGGTGGAGCAGCTCGTCTTCAGTCAGCCCACAGTGTGAGATGCACAGCAAGCAGAGCGCGTCGGCGACCCAGCCACTCAGCCCTGTGCGGCCACAAGAGCGGGGGACGGAAGCAGGAGAGCGTGAGTCAGTGAGCGTGGGCTCCACCACGTCAGTAACTAGCTTCTCTCCCTCAGCACTGGAATGGCCCCGGACTTAGACCAAAGGCACCCAGGAGTAAGTGCTGACATGGGATCCCAGCCCAGCCTACCTTCAGAGCCCGTGGTGTTGCCCACCATTTGCAAAGTCACAGCCAGCACTGGTACAAGTCCGGTCACTGCTGAGCATGCTGCCCAGTGGTGCCGGTTCCAGTGCCGGTGCTTGTCCTGTAGAAGTGTTTCCTTCACACCCACGAGCACCCCTGAAAGGGCCCCTTCAGCTTCTGTCCTATCGCTGGCTTTCTGATCCGCCAGCTAGAGCGAGATCAGATGTCGGAGAAACAAAGCGCTGTGATCCACTGTGACCTTTCCTGGACTGAAGGGGCCCGTTTCACCTGCCGTCTCCAGGGGAAGGCAGATCTGAAGCCCAGCTGATGAACCTTCCCCTGAATTTGACTGAACTCGGCCAAGCTCTTCCTAGATCTGGGGCGGAGCTCCCTGGACCAGACAGGATCGCTGGTCAGGGCTGGGGAAGCTACAGTGCCTGGGGGACGGGGGACGGAGCCCTGGGCTTTGCTGCGTAGTCCTGGGGAGGGAGTCAGAAGAATGGGTCAGATGGCCTGTGTGACTCTTCTAAGGAGCCCCACTTCCACCTCTGTGGAGGTGGGGGACAGGACGGTAAACTTGAAACCCATTTTCTTGATAGGAATGCAAAGTGTAGCGCAGAAAATTGGGTGGGACTACGTAGCACAGCAGTAATCGATGCATCCTGTGCTCCTCATCCACCTCTCCAGTTCTGTTCCAGTCTAGGTTCCATGGCCTGAAGAGAAGACTGATGCAGCAGACACAGAATGGGACTTCACCGGCCTACAGCACAGACAGCGGCTTGAGAGAGCAAAAACTTTCAAAAGCCTTATTGTTCAATATCATACAAAAATTCTAGAAGAAGTTGTTCACCGCAAGCAAGAGACTCGGAGGCTGAGCTAACAATGCTATTTGTTTTCTCCCCACCTAGGAAGAAAAGAGCAGCTGCAGAACTGAGAAAGATCTAGGAGAGAGTTGACGAGGAAACCAGGATTCAAGAAGCCAGGGCAGCTAGGTGTGGGAGCACACACTTTTAGTCCCAGGACTTGGGAGGCAAAAGCAGGTGGAGCTCCGTGAATTGAAGTCCAGCCTGGTCTACATAGCAAGTTCTAGGCCAGCCAGAACTACATATAGAGAGCCTGTCTCAAAAACAAAACAAAAGCCTGGTTAAGTTTCTCCGTGGCGAGGATGAGGGATGACACCAGCAGGGGGCAGCAGAGACTCGACAACCAAGAAAAGATGGCAAACGCTGCTCCTAACAGGAGCCACCAAAGGAAAGACGGACACTCTGAGGACTGCAGTTCATCTGGGATCAGCGACCACACAGGAAGACTGTGCAGGAACAGATGACAGCCAAAGACACCCTGTACCAAGGCTCCATCCAAGAGAAACATGGAAAGTATCCGAATCCTTGGCAGGCTTAAGAGGCCCTAATGGCTGGAAACATGGAGAATATACCTAAATTCACTGGATAGGCTTGTGCCAAAAGTAGGACCGTGGGATCAAAGCAGAGGTTTATACTGATGAGATGCCCAGTTAAATATGAATTTCAGATAAACTAATTTTTAGTACAAATATACCCCCATGCAATATTTGGGACATATTTATTCTGAGAATTACTTGCTGTTTTTCTAGAATCCAATTAGTGATTAAGTGCATCTCATGCAATATCAGAGACATATTTCTATCAAAATATTCTTTTTTAAAGATTTATTTTTTATTTATCGGTGTCTGCGTGAGTTTATGTGCACCATGGGAATGCAGGTGCCCGCAGAGGCCAGAAGGCATCAGGTCTCCAGGAAACGGAGTTAGAGGTGACTGAGTCATCTGAAGTGGGTGCTGGGAACCACACTCAGGTCCTCTGTGTGAGCAGGAAGCACTCTGGACTCTGAGGCACTTCTCCAGCCCCTAGAATACCATTCTTCTCTTTTTATATCCCTCCCCTAAGGTATTATTTGTTGTTGATCTGAAATTCAAATCTAATGAAGTCCTGTGTTTCCTCTGACAGTTCCCTCCCCAGACCCTTCTCCTGAGCAAGCCTACACCACAGACCTTTGTCCCCGTGGACTCCCACCAAGATGCCAATACTGCCCAAACCTTTTCCTGAAGCCACAGCATCTGAGTTTGTCTCTTTTTGCTTCAAATTCCAACCGTAATCTTCAACCCAGCGCTTCAGAATCAACTCCCAGAGCTCCTGGACGGAGGCCATCTCTAAGTACTCCCTCAGGCACTGGAACTCGTTACGGTAGATTCTGCACTCCTGCAGCTCGCTGGCGATGATCGCCAGCTTCAGAGGGGTCAGGTTTGGCTTTTTCCTCAAGATGGGTTTGCTCTGCCCAAAGCGCTCTTGGTCGGGAGTGGAGAGGTGCTGTCTGAAGATGCTGAACTTCGTGTCTTCATCCCCCACGCCCGAGAGCTCCAGAGTCCGCACATCCGGGCGGGCGCACAGTGACTTGCACGACAGGCTGGAGGAGACGGTGCTCAGGATGAATTTACAATGTGGAGGGAGCGAACCCGGCAGCCACGAGAAGTCTTTCGCCTGGTGGAGACATTTGAAAACCTCAAAGACCTTAAAACGACTTTGCGGATGGTTTTCAGACTTAGAGTAGGTGGAATATTGGGTGTGAGTGTAGGGTAAGGGTGTGTTATGGCCACCAACAGTAACTTGGATAAGAAGCCATTTGGTAGGAAGAAATACAAATTTGCACAGAATGAAATCTGCTGACTGATGCATATATGATGAATCTAATAGTGCAAATCTGGACTCTTAGAAACGGATTCCTGGGCTGGAGAGGTGGCTCAGTGGTTAAGAGCACTGGCTGCTCTTCTAGAGGTCCTGAGTTCAATTCCCAGCACCACATGGTGGTTCACAACCATCTATAGTGGGATCTGATACCTTCTTCTGGCATAAAGTCATACATACAGATAGAGTATCACAGAGTATCACATACATAAAATAAATAAATCTTTTTTAAAAAAGAAAACAGATTCCCACAAACAATTTAATAAAACCTCATACTTCTGAGGACTAATCTACAGTCATAATCAGAGGAAATCCAATAAAAGGCAAATTGAACCACTTAATAAAATAAGACCTTGTGTAATGGTAAAGAGTTGTTACTTTCTGCAGTAAAACTATCTTGAGTTGAACACCTAATATGATCTTTTCTTGATTATTGTTAAAAATTTTAATTACCTTTTCATTTCTTTATTTTTGTGTGCACGTGTGTGTGTGTGCAGGCAGGTGCCAGGGCACGTGGGTAGAGGTCAGAGGACAACTTTTGGGGGTCAGTTCTCTCCTGCGATGTAGATCCTAGGTGTTGAACTAAGGCTGTCAGCCGTGGCAGCAGGCATCTTGACCCCTGAGCCATCCCACCGGCTCCCTGTGTCTGAATTCTGGTCCCACCACTTAGTTATCTTCGGACCTTAGACAACACCTAGCATCTCTTTGTCCTCTGTCCAACCAAGGATGATGAGCATCTGTGTACATTCTAGACCTTCGATTCTGAGACGAAAAGAATATGTTGATACGTTTAAAGCTGGTACCCAGCCCATGGTAAATGCCATGTAAATATTTGTCTAATAAAACACAAAGTAACAATTAAAATCAATAATGGGCATACCTAGAAACACAACACAATAGAAATGTATTATATACACCCAAATAATGGGGTCTTCCTTTTTTCATAAAATAAGTGTGATTTTTAAAGGATGTTACCTTCTGACCTGAAATCCCATAAATGCCAATCAACTCTTCAATCCCATCTAGTACAAGTACACATGGCTTTAGGCTGATGAAGGCCATGAACACTTCTATAAGAAGCGAAAAGACCAAGACACTTGAGTCTTCATTAAGAAAATCCATTTCAATCTGGGGACCTACAATACAGAAATTTCAAATTAGGTGAAGATGTTCCAGTCACTGCTAAGCTGTGCCGATGGGATGGAGTGGGGGTGGGGTGGGGGGGGGGAAAGAAGTGCTACTCACAGTTTGCAGCTGACACACGCATGCGCATGCTTGGCTGGCTTCCTCGAGACATTCAGGCCCAAAGAGCTAATGGTATTTGTCACCAGATGTCTCCAACAGTTTCAGGATTTCATATAAAAATACTACGTACGGTGTTTACACATGTTTCTTGTGTGTGTGCGTGCGCGTAGGCCAGGGTAAATGTCTGGTGTCCCCCTCGATCGCTCTCCACCTTCGTTTTTGAGACAGGGTCTCTCTCTGAAACTGGAGCTGACCAATGAGCTCTGGGGACCCTCCTACCCCCACCTCCCCAGGAGTCCGAAGGCTACAGCAGTTGAAGCAAAAGCATCACAATGAAGAAAGTTCCAAGTAAAAGACAGTCTAGTGGACGTAACTATTTGTTCTTAAAATGATGTGCTGTGGGATGCTCTGTATGCTGTGAATGTGTTGCTCTGATTGGTTGATAAATAAAAAGCTGATTGGCCAGTAGCCAGGCAGGAAGTATAGGTGGGATAAACAGACAAGGAGAATTCTGGGAACAGGAAGGCTGAGTCAGGAGACACCAGCCCAACATCCAGGGAGCAGCATGTAATGGCACACAGGTAAAGCCACGGAACACATACAACATATAGATGAACAGAAATGGGCTGAGTTTAAGTGTAAGAGCTAGTCAGTGGTAGGCCTGAGCTAATGGCCAAGCAGTTTTAATTAATATAAGCTCTGAGTGATTATTTTATAAGTGGCTACAGGGTACGTGGGACTGGGCAGGACCAGAGAAAACTTCAGCTACACTGATGTTAAAGATAAGGATAGTATTGATAATACTGGAAAAAGATCCTAAACATTTCCCTTTGTTTGGAAAGAGCCAATCTTGAAGTTCTGATTTAAATGTTAATATCTCAAATGTTTAAATTCCCACTTAATGACTTACTAATAGGCAGACTTGGTTGCTCTGTGTGTGTGTACATGCTCATGTGGGTCCTTGTGTATGTGGAGGTCATCATTCGGCACAGAATTGCCAGGAATCTTCTATGCCTGTGCCAGGCACTAGGTCTATCAATGACCAGGAAAATAGACATAACCTCTGAACTCCGAGGGCTTGCAGAGGGACACAAACACTAAATACTGGGACAGACATACAACACTGGGACCTTGTAAGTCACCTGGGGAGCCAAGAAGGAGGGACTCACATCCACAAGCAGCAGCGCCAGCACATGGGGCTGGGACTACACTGGCTGTCGGTCAGGGAGAGCCGCCCATCAGCCCTCTCACGGAGGGGTGGCCCATGAACCGAGGCTTAGAGAACAAGAAACATTTCGCCACCAGGGAAAATTGAGAGAAGCGAATGAACCTGAAGTGGTGGGTCTACTCCCAAGAAACCAGACTTGTGGAGGAAAGGACAAGAAGCCAGGCTAGGAAGAGATCGTGGCCCAGGGCACGAAGCAGGTCACAAAGCTGAGGCTGTCTGCCCACGTATTGCACATCATCAACCCACAGGCAGGGTCTCCCGAGAGCCAGTGCTGGTGAGGACCAAGAAGGAAATCTTCCACAGACTGAGGTTTTCCTTTCCTGCCTCGAGGAGGCGCCACAGTGCAGTACTGAGAGCTTTGAGGTCAGCAAGAGCCGGAGCTTAGACTATTCTACTCTGCCCATGTGCAGCTGGTGACGCTGCCTCTGCGAGCCTCGGTCTCCTTGTCAGGACGCTGATGTCAAAGTCGGTCCAGGGTCTGATGAAACCCTTCACACAATGCCTGGTAGGGCTGCCTCACACATGGAACATGGTGGAGAGGAACTGCGTCGAGAAAAAGCTTGACTCTGCAAAGCGTGTCACAGGAGGGACACCAGGCGGGGAGGGGAACAGGCTATCAGGGGACTCTGATAGTGGCAGTTCTCCTCCACCAGAGACTTTGTCCTGGAAGGCAGAGGCTGGGGCCAGAAAAGCAGAAATAGGTCACACATGGCGTTTGGTGTCCCAGAGAGGAAGGGTCCCTGCTCACACCTCACAGAGAAAGGCTTGCAGATGCAGAGGTGGGCCACAGGAAAACGGGCCACAAAGTAGCTGAGTCTGCGGTGTGCACCTGCGCTCTCTCAGCGGCATTTCTGACCCCTGCACCCACATCACCTCATCCCGGAAACCAGCTGGGCTGCGCAGCACAGGCAGCCCTGAAAACGCCCCTCAGCCCGGAACCCAAGAGTCCAATCGGGCTGCGGCGACACCGCAGACGACGCCCGCTCCGACGGCAGCCTCTCTCCTCCTTAACCTAGAGAGGGGGTGGGAGAGTCCTGTTTCCCTTAATAGTGCACCCCGCCGCTTCTTTCTCCGCCTCAGGGAGGAACGCTAATCCCATCAACAAATAACAACAGCGGCAAAATAACAGTAGCAGCAGCCTGCCGGGTACCACTGTCAATCCTTACAGGCTTCATCTTTCGGTTCTCACACAGCCTTAGAGGGCAGGTTTGGGGGTTTTACAGGAGAGAAACGCGTCACACGGCTTGAGTAACCGCTGGCGATCACCCAGCTAGTGAGGAAGGAAGGCAGAATTGTGGGTCAAGCCCCAAGCCTCCCTTTCTGGGCCTGAACAAGGAGAGTGCTCTCTCATGGAGAGCTGTCTGGTGTCCACAGGCTTTCCTGAGTTTGTTCTACCACTGCCAGACTAAAAAGCTGCTTGTTTGAAAGGCAGCAGCTGTTTTTATTAGGAGCTTCCTGAACCCCAAGACACACTCATTAAAATAACAACTCGCTTTGGGAATAGAATCGTAATTGGGTGTGCTCGGCCAAGCTTACATCATCAGCTGCCTAGCCCAAGTGAGCACCTAGGGGATGTGCCAGAATAGGCCTAGGAGCCTACGGAGACAGTCACACCTGCTGCTGCCGATTCTGATCTTACCTGCTTTCCAGACCCAGGAAGTGCAACCAAAGAGAACTCACCCTGCGTGTTCACAGAAGCCCACCAGGCGCGCAGACACCTGCCCTGCCCCACGTGAATTGTATGAACACACCCAAAGTCACTGTGAGGCACCTCACATTTACTCAGGACCTCGAAGCACACACAGGTGGATGACAAGAGACGAACTGTCACCAGCAGGCAAAGCCAGACGCATATGAATCCGTACATCCTCGGCAGATGCGGAACAATGGTACCCACTAATGTTATCAGTGCTTACTGTATGCCAGGGTCACACCACACTGAGTGCCTTTGTCTTTTGTGCCTTTTCCTAGCCAATCCTCTTATATGCCTAAAAGGTCCTTTTCCTTTGATATCCATATTTTATAAATAGAGAAACAAAGCTGGGTATGGCAGGCTTGTGATTGGAACACTTAGGAAGTAGAGTTGGGAGTTCAGGGCCATCCTTGACTACACAACAAATTTGAGATCGCTCTGAACTACATGAGATCTGAATCAAAAAACAAAAAATCAAAACAAACAAAACCAACTAGGAACCAAGCCACAGAAATTAAGATAATTTACCCACGGTCATCTGACTAGTAAGTCACAGACACAGGTTTGAATACAGGTTCTCAGGCCCCAGGACAGAATGCAGCCCAGCCCAGCACCCCCGCCCCATGACTGCCATCCCCATGGGCACAACCCACCTCGTATCTCAAACACCACACATCCGAAGCAGGGCCCTGAGTTCCTCCAGACCTGCTTGCGCACCCCACTAGCTCTGCCGGACGCAGCGAGCACCCCTTTTCCTGCAGCCCAGAAACGGGAGCCCCCCTCCGTGTCCCCCTTTCCTTCCATCCACAGCCAGCCAAACCACCCACCGCCCTTCCCCACCGCGGCTGCCCTGGGACCGTTTCAACAACCAACAATAAGTGTGTGTCCCCCCACCCTGCATCTGCAAGCTGGCCTCCCTGTATATCAAGCCATGTCCTGTCCGTCTGTGTGTGTGTGTCGCCCCCCCTCCCGTCCCCACCCTTCTTAAATCCCTCCACTGGCCTCTGGCTCATGGAACAGGATCCACACCTGATATTCTGACCTGCACAGCTCCCTCCCAGATGAAGCAGCCCCGCACCCCATTTTGTCTGTGAGACCATGCCATCCATTGTTGTCTGGCCACATTGGCCCCCTGTCCATTTCTAGCTCATCCCACTGTGTTTCCAGCTCTGGGACTACAGCCTTGTGTTAGCGTTCCCCTTTGCCTGGAATGTTCTTTCCTCTGATTTCCATACGGTCAGCCTCTGTTGACTGTGAAATGTTCCCAAAGAGTGTAGGTTAGGTCAGAGTAGGTTATCTGTCCGGCTGCACCATCCCTTCCAAACCTGCTTGGTATCTTATGTGGCCAGCTTCTTACCAGAAGAATGGGGTGGGGAGAACAGTCCCTGGTTTGCCTTTTCCACTCTTCCTCTGGCCCAGCGGCTCTCAACATGTGAGTCGAGACCCCTTTGGGTGGTCGACCCTTTCACAGGGGTCGCATATCAGATACGCTGCATCAGATTTACACTGCGATTCATAACAGTAGCAAAATCATAGCTATGAAGTAGCAATGAAATAATTTTATGGTTGGGGGTCACCACAACATGAGGAGCGGTGTTGAAGGGTCACACCCTGAGGAAGGTGGAGAACCACTGCTCTAGCCCAAGGCAGAAGAGTCAGGCACAGCCTCTGTGTGGAAAGGTTTCCTCCAGGCACCGTAGGGAAGAATGCTGCTTGTTAACTCAGTTAAGAGACACCTAAGAGACTATTACCTGCGAAGAACCAGAGAAGTCCTAGATAGGGAGAAGCAGGGTCTGGGGGTGAGGCCACAGGGATTCACATCCAAACGAGAGAATGCCAGCCCCAAGGACAGGGGCAAGAACTGTTTGAGTCTTTCTCTCTTTTTTTTTTCCTTTTCTTTCTTTTTTTGTTTTTTGTTTTTGCTGCTGCTGCTGTTGTTGTTGTTTTGTTTCTTGTTTTTCAAGACAGGGTTTCTCTGTGTAGTTTTGGTGCCTGTCCTGGATCTCACTCTGTAGACCAGGCTGGCCTTGAACTCACAGAGATCCACTTGCTTCTGCCTCCCGAGTGCTGGGATTAAAGGGGGTGAACCATCACACCTGGCCCAAGAACTGCTCTTTCCGATTCAGCTGGTACTTTAAAAATGTTTATGTTAATTATCTTTAGAGTCATGATTTTATTTTTCATGGGAAAAAACACATTTATAATGATTTTTCTTTTTATATTAAGATTCATGTTTAATCAAATTAAATGGAGAGAAACTCAAAGCAATACCACTAAATTCAGGAAC